TTGCCGGCCCGAGCTCCTGCGCCCGCCTCCCCTGCCTGCCCCTCGGGACGCCGGGCCGCTCACTGCTGCGTGACACGCGTTCCTTCCGGCCGCCTGCGAAATCCCGGCTGCTTTGAAACTCACACCGCACGCAATACCTTTTCCGTATTTCTTGTACGGACTCCCAGTTCCCACACAGATTCTTCTCATTAGTAGCTCTTCGAAGCCAGCCTCGTTTTCTTCACCTGCAGACCTCATTAAGCTCCACCTTCCACTCCCATCTCCAAGAGGATCCCTGTTGTCCAAATTCTCGTGGCTCTGGGGTGGCTAACAAACGCAGAATTGTATCACGCACAAACTGTAGTTGAACTCGAACATTAGGTTTTCTCCCCCCTGTAACTTCAGCTCCAATTACCCTTCCTCTCTTTGGAATCTGTCCGTGTTTCCAAGGATCTCGCTTGTCATCTTTAGAAACTGGATCCTTTCTAGAATACTGTCCCGTGGTGATCACAGGAATGCGCCTCCCAAAGGTGCTCTGGGAAAGCTTGTTGGCTGAGCCCCTCATGGAGGTCATGCTACTCCTGGGCTATTCCCAGTGACGGGTCACAGCCAAGGTAGCTGTGACATTCATGTGACATACGTGGTCCCTCAGTGAACTATTTTGAGGTGGGGGCCCCTCAACTCTTGGCTGAAGTTTCTTAGGAGCGCTGGCTTCAGTCTGTAGCCCTCTTGCCCTTGCCTTTCACAGGTGAGTCAGACCTCTGCCTTAAGGCACGAAGGCTCTTTCCTCTCGTTTTCTGTCATCTTTCTCAGGTGTCCCCTTAACACAACTGCTGCACAGTGACCTTTGTCTTGGTGTCTGCTGCTAGGACCTGAAATGACACACCAGACATTCCATTCTCTGATCACCTTCTTCCTATCCGGAGCTCTTTGTTCATTGACCTCATTTTTCTTCTACTGTTGGGCAGGCCATGCCTTGGATATATTTCCTCGACTAGCCCAGACTCCATAGTCCATTATAATCATGCCTTGAAATGCGATTCTCTCAGCACTCTCAAACCTCAGTTTCTTCCAAGTTATTTCCTAAGAAAAAAAATGCAACCCTGACCGCACATAAGATAACCTCTGTCTTGCACGGGCCTGACTGGTGCAACTGATCCTTTCCTGCAAGAAAATCTCAAAACCCAACCGACCTGTTCTCCTTTCAACACTTTACTGCATATCTGAAATTGGTGTTTTTCCCATGATCGTCTCAGTCCCCGACATCTAGACCGACCGTTTCTGCGCATGTATCTCCTCGGAGTGCCCCTTTTGGTTCATACTTCTCTGAGAAATAAGAGTTACACACAGGCACCCCCATCTTCCTGCTACAGTGTCTGGAAATGGCCTTCCGTTTTGTGGCTGAAAAGCTTGCAGGCCAGTCTCTTCTCTCAGCGCTGTGGATCTGGCTTTCTCTGCCTTTGAGGAACTTCAGGTCCTCCTCTTCCTCTCTCCTGTTACCGTCATTTCCCCTCCTCAGTCAGTTGTTTAGTTGCAATAAATGGGACATCTCATCCAGTTTCTCCAGTCAGAAACCCGGAGGGCTCCCTTGCTTCTCTTTGACCAGCTCCTTACAAAGCATCTCATCCACCAGTTTTATCACTCAAATATGCCATTTCGTTTGTCGGAGAAAGGATCCCTCTACACAGTTTGCCTGGAACTCACTGTGTAGAGCAGGCCAGCTTTGAATTTGTAATGATCTCCCTGCTTCGGTCTTCGAAGGCCCGAATTATAGGTGGCACAATCGTGCCTGACTTAAAGTCGTCTTTAATCTGCCTCCTTCCGGATTCAGTACCATCATCACTTGGTCCTGGCCAGCACTTTCTTCTCATGACCTCTGTGTCGGCTAGTCCTGCATGGCCTCTCAGCTAGCACTCTTGCCCTACCTCACTACCTTTTTGAGCCTGGTGGTAGTGACCTTTTCATCAGTTAAATAAATTGTTGGTTATAAGATAAAATGGAAACTCCGTACCATAGCTTACAAAGCCTGCACCCATCTGACCCTCTCTTATTTCTTCAACATCTTCTGTCCTCCTGCTGTTTACCATGTGTGGCCATGCTAGCTCTGTCAACTGACCGAGCAAGATCTTTTCCGTACCTCAGGGGGTTAGTAAATACTACTCTCTCTCTAAGCTGCCCTTCATGGCCACCCTCTCCGTCATCACAGTGTATCCTGAGGATGGGTGCGGAGTTTAGAGAGAGCCCTGTCTGGAGCACCATAGAGAATGGAGCCGCGACCTCCCGTCATTTCCTCTCAGTTCTGTGTTTGTCATCTTATTTATTTGTTTATTTTGTTTTATTTCCTTCTCCCCACACTAGAATGTATGAAGGAAGCGACTGTGGCTGTCTGGATTCTTCAACACTCGTCCTCTGCCCATAGCCATTTGGTACATATTAGACGCATAATAACTGTCTGATGAAGGGATAAATGGATACATATGCTAATTTTTCTGTTGGGAATTCACTTTCTATGGACTTAGTAAGAGGTATTTATATATTAAAACCACTAATCATTTGCGTATTCTGTTTGTTGCCCACATTCTGCCCTTCTCCAGTATGTGCCAGTTTAATTCTTGATGTCTATGAGATACAGAAACATTGTATTTTTCGCAACAATAAATATCTTTTATGAGTCTTGCATTTGGTGATATGTTTAAAAATATCTTCTCTGTGTCAGTGTTCCATGCATATTTGTTTGTTTCCTTTTATTTTTATTTTTTTAGATTTAAATATTTTTCTCTAAATGGAATTTATTTTTGGTATAGGTATGAGTAAGGGCCTCCATATTTATTTAGTTGTTACATCATCATTTATTGAAAATTCTTTTTTATTGTTTTGAATAGTTGACATTTTTGGCACATTAAACTCTTATACCTGAGTAGTTTCTGTGCTGACCACTTGTTTGTTGTCCCGGAAGTCCCTTGGCTGTTGCCATGGTATCAGTTGCTCTACTCTGTATTTACAATGAAGTCATATTACTTTTATTTTTAAAAATATTTTTGGTTTTTGGCTATGGTTTTTCATTTATTCTCCTCAATTAGCTTTAGTTATATTTTGGTAAAGTCCAAAAGAAAGTCTACTGTCATTTTCTTTAGGATTGCTTTAAGATTATGGGTTATTTGAGGAAGAGTTGTGAAGCTTGTACTCTGAGGTCTACTGAGGAACCTGTCATGTGTCAAGGTTACTGAAGACATCTTGTATGTCCTTCCATTCTTTTTTAATGTGCTGTAAACCTATTTGTTATATTTTAGCTATTTTATATTTTGTTGGTATTTTACTGTGATCATCCCCCCCATTTTTAAGAGCTTTTTATGAAAGCTGTTCCTTGTAGGGTCAATTGAGTTTGTGTTTGATAGCTTTCCAGCTCTCTCACTAATCCTTACTGATTCCTTTCTGCATAGCTGATTATTTAAAGCATCATTAATGATAATTTTGTGTTTCTTTTGCTATGCTTATACCTCATCGAATAAGTGATGGTAATGGCTGTGCTCTTATCCTGACATTTTAGGAATGCCATCAGTATTTTTTACCAGGTTTTAATGTTAACTATTCGACTCAAAATGCAGGCCTTCAGTCAAAGGAAATGGTTTTTTGGTTCAAATATACCAAACATATTTTGGAAGTTCTTGTTGAATTATATTAAACATTCTCGGCAACCAGAGGTTATCATATGGTTTTATTTTGTGGTCTATTACCACAATACACTGTTATTAACTGGTTTCTTAATACTGGGCTATTTCTGCATATGATAGAGTCTGTAATCATGGTGAACTTTCCCCCATTTTAAGTATAACAATGTTAAATTCAATTCCTTACATTTTAATTGGGGTTAAAATATTTATATTCATGAAAAATATTAGATTGCAATCTTCTATTTTTATATTCTTCTTTCTTAGCTTCGGAGGTGAATTTCTCTATTGTGTTAGGTATAAATTAGTAATACTATAGGGCTGTCTATTCCCTGATGTCTTGGAGGAACTCCCTCATAACACTGTTTATAAGATAAAATATAATTCTCTGAAAAGTTTGAAAACTTCTATGGTTTTGTCCTCTAAAGGCAACCATACTTCTTGAATAGCAACTTTAAAATTATATTTTTAAAAGAAAATCATGCATTTTCACAGAATTTAAAAATATGTTAGATTTCTGCATATATTTATCTTATAATTAAAAATATTTTCTCTGTCTCTGTGGTTGTAGTGTTTTTCTTATTTCCCAGCTCTTTAGTCTTTAGCTGTATTTTTCTTTTATTGGACTTGCCAGTCTTTTTAAGGAACCAATATTTAAATCTTTTATTAACTCTTAGTTTTTCTGTTTATATCAGTGTAATTATTTATCTCTAATTTCTTCTTATTATTAAAAGTTTAGTTGTTGTTTTATGAGTGTTTCTTTGTAATTGATGACTTAGATAATTTTTTAATTTCTTATTTAATAATAGGACATAAGATTATCAACTTACCTTTGGGCACAGCTTTATTCTATGGCCCCTTACTGTTATAGTAACCGTCTCTATTTCGTTTTTTTAACTGGTGTAATTTGCAATAGTATTCTGAGTTTGTTCCCTGTTAATTCTGCT